GGTAGAGCCCCCAGGCCCTTCCTGCAGGGCCCAGGGCACCCTGTTCCCCTGAGGTCCAGGCCAGTGGCAGCACCAGCCCTCTGGTCCCCATCAGCAACTGGACCTAGGCTCCGCCCGGAGCACCACCTGTCTCCCTGGTGCACTCTGGGCCCTATTTCCCGAGAGGCCCAGCCGTGGTTATCAGCAGCCGCAGCTGCTCTGAGAAAGGCTGCAGTCTATTAAGATTTAAAGAGATTTAATCTAACAAGACAAGCAGGGGAAGGGATTTAATTCTGTGATAAAAAGTCATCAAATCTCAGCCTGTGGCCGGAGAGCAGTTGCCCAGCGGCCGACTGCTCCGCACCTCGGGGTGCAGTGCAGCAGGAGACAACTAAGCTGGCTGCCTCTGCCCGGGCGGCTTGGCGTTGGGCGGACGCAGCGCCAGAACTGCTCAGAGCAGAGGCCCACGTGAGCACTACTTCCCTATAAAATCTGTTCTTCCTACTTTCCCTACAGGTAGGTGTGGCCGTGTGGCTGGTTCTGCTTCGTGGGATACAGGGAAGTTCCTTTCTAGGATGTGTTCTGTCCCTTCCCTGCCATTTCTGCCATCTTCCAAGTGTATAGAGTGACAGCAGGGGCAGCAGCCTCCACCTTGTCACCATGAGGAGACCAGAGACGTTCAGGGGCCGAGGTCTCAGTTCTCACATCCTCCAGCCCCCAAGCCAGGCCAGGCAGCTCCCTCTGGCTTCTCGCCCTGAGGACAATGTCGAGGGCAGAGCTGTCCATCAGGTCTGGGGTGCTGCGGTCAGGGAAGGATCAGGTTCTCAGCAGGACGCCATCCCTGTACGTGGCTCTGCGTCTCCAGCAAGTATGAATTCCCTGGGGTCTCAAGTCAGTGATCATCGAATGGAGTCAGGGTCTTCGCTCTCCCGGGACACAGGCTCTCTGCTCCTGAGTCCCACCAGTGTCTCCTCAGCCTTGGCCAGAAGAGGAGGACATGGGAAGACCCAGCCTTTGCCCTGGAGAATCTGAGGCGCTAATGTGAATGCTCCGACTCCCCTAACCCACCCGCGCCAGCCGAGGACTGTGCCCTAGAAGGGCCTTTCCACGGTTACCACCATTGTCTCCTTGGGCATGAGACTCCCTGCCACTCCCTCTCCCGGCATCTGACACCAAGCCACCTCTCCCGGGATGCCACAGCACATCCGGGGGCAGCCGAGGCCTTGGGGAGCCCTTCGGAGAGGGTTGGGTGGGTAGACAGGGAGGGATGGTGGCGCCTGTGCCCAGATAGCAAATGCTGCACGGCGTGGGTGGCAGGGCGTCCCTCCACTGGTCCATCCGTCCAGGCAGCAGTGCAGAGCACCTGCAGCTCATTAATCCCTCTGCCTCCTCTCTCTCTGTGTCCCCCTTGACAGACTTGGCCCTATGGCTCCAGGGCCCCATTGACCCAGTAGGATCTCGTTTGAACACTTCTGGTCCACAGTGAACCTGGTCCCCGTGAGACACATGCTGGGGTGGGGCTGGGCCCAGGCCGCAGTCAGGCGGAGACAGACCGGAGCTGAGGAAGGGTTCCTGGTCCTCACTGCACCGAGGATGCTGGGCACACGCCTCCTGCCGAGGGTGACTGGCCAGAGAGCTCAGAAACACCTTAAGAGAGCATTTCGTCCCGGAACCGTGAATGCTCAGGGGATATCACAACTGCACGTGACAAATTACCCCAAGCGAGCAGCCCCAGGCGATGTGGCCGGTCCCCTCTCCCGTGACGCTGGGTCGGGGCTGGGGGCAGCCTGACCCCAGCCAGTGCTGCATGCTGGTGCCCAAGGTTGGGGCTGGGGCTGCCCTCCTAGCGTGTGGGCGCCTCCGCAGGTGAGGCTCGAGCCTGGCTGGGGTCTCGGGGGAGTCTTGAGTCCCGGTGCAGCTGCACAGGGACAGGCACTTTGCTCCTCCAGGGCACCGAGGGCTGGGGCTCTCATGCAGGGGCTCAGTGTCCTGCCGCAGAGGGGCCATCAGAGCACGACCCGGGCTCCTGCGGTGGTCTTGGGGTGAACCCCACCCTCCTCCAGTCCAGCTCCACCTAGGCTGCTCTCAGGGCTCCCCAGTGGCTGGGTCCTGCAGTGACACAGGGCAGACCCTGTTCCTGTGGGCAGGTGAGCACCAGGGTCTCCCAAGCCAGCTCTTCTCCTAGGTGAGCAGGGCGCCTCTGAGAAGCCCAGGGCCTCTGACACCCTCCCTGGCTGCAGGGATGCGCTGAGCCCGGCACCGGCACCGGCACAGCTGCTGGGGCCCCCAGCTGTGGCTGCGTTTGCTGGCCCCCCTCCCTGGGTCTCCCAGGCCTCCTCCCATGCAGGTTCAGGGATGGCCGCCAGAATGATGGCTCCTGCTTTGAGGGAAGGTGGAAAGGTGTTCTGCCCAAGCAGCGCTATTATTATTTGGTGTTGAATTTCAAGTAAAATAAGAATTAGAATTCCCAGCGCTGATTCCTCTGCAACCATGAATCTGGTCCCTGTTCACCACATAGCGAGGCACGTGTTCACAGAGCGGTCACAGACATGTCCAGAAATGTAATTACATTCACAGCTCGATGTGCAGATCAGCCGTGGCTTCTGTGTGCTCCCCCTGAATGTGGATGCTGCACAGACAGTGGGTGCCTGTGCATGGATGTGCATGTGTGCTGCACAGGTGTGTGTTCACAAGCCTGTGTGTTCATGAGTGTGTATACTGCACATGTGTACCCACGAACCTGTGTGCACATGTGTGTGTCACACAAGTGTGTGTCCATGAGCCTGCATGTGCATGGGTATGTGCTGCACATGTGTGTGTGTCTATGAGCTTCTGTGTGGATGGGTGTGCACATGTGTGTGCTGTGTGTATCCACAAGACTGCATGTGTGTGTGCAAGGGATGTGTATCCACCAGCCTGAGTGTAGGTGTGTGCACTTGTGCATGTGTGACATACAATGTGCATTTGTGTGTGCTTATGTGCACGCATGTGTTTGCATGTGCACACCCAGTGATTGGCATTTTCGTGGCCTTGCCTAGACAGGTCACTGTAAAACCCGGCACTGACCCCCAGCCACGAGGCGCCCTCGGCCTCACCTCGTTCCTGCTGGCTGCAGACGGTGAGCTGGGTGAGCTGGGTGAGCTGGGTGTCAGAAAAGCCCTCTCCTCCAGCCTGTGCAGTCCAGCCATTAGGGACAGGGACAGTGGCCAGTAGGAGCCCAGCTGTGTGGCTCAGCCTGGATGTGGAGGGCAGGAAGGTCCCTCAGGACCCTGGGTCACGTGTCCACCATGCCTCCTGCTCCCACCCCCATGGGGCAGCCCCTCCTGCCCTCAACCTTTGAGGCTGTGTCAAGCCCAGGGATCCATGGTTGGTGCAGAAGGGACCAATGTGGGCCGTTGCCTAGGCAACCTGACCCTAGCTTTGTTCAGGCTCTGGCAGTAGCTCAGGGACAGGTGGCCCCCATGATTCTCCCAGACAGAGCTAACCCTGGGATCAACCTGCCATGCGGGTGATGAGGGGCACAATAGCAAGGTACAAGAGGAAGGTTTATTTTGGCTCTCAGTGTGTAGAGTTTCAGTCCAGTCAGCTGGTTCCAAGGCAGGACAGCCTGGCAGAGGAGAAACAGTCCATGGTAGGGCAGGCAGGAGGCAGCAGCAGGGACTCTGTCCTCACCCTGAGGAAGGCACAAGGGGGTTTTGGATGGGGACAGAAGAGAGGGCTGTGGGGCTGTGAAGCCCTAGGACGGGGTACTCCATGGTGACCCCCACTCGGCCCTGAGTCTTATCATCCAACACACTGCTGTGACCTGTCCCGGGCAGCACAGAGGTGACACTGCCAATGGCATGCGCTGCAGCCATCTTCACCTCTCTCTGTCCCCAGGAACAGCCCCTCCCAGGTGATGCTCAGGCCCCAGAGCAACATGCCAGCGCTGCTGCGTGGGGAGGCGGCCTGAGCGAGAGCCAAGGCGCGAGGTGGTCAGCAGCCCCTCCCACTCTGGGTCTTTTTCTTTGCATTTTTTGTGGTGCTGGGAATTGAGCCCAGGGCTTCTCACTGAGCCACACACCTCGCACCTGCCCTCTTCTTTTTTACATTTATTTTAAGACAGGTGGCGAAGCCGGACCGACCTCCAAGGCTGCTTGACAAAGTTCCAGCCGGGGGAAAAGGAGGGTGGAACACATCGTACCCTCATGTTTTATTTTTTCTTGCCATAATGTTTACAATTGTTACTCTGGTCACAGGAATCATTGTGTTTGTGACTAACAACAAACTCTCCATGAGGCAAATTGGCAATGTTGTATTGAAATCTGATCTGGCTCACAAGTCCCAAATTCCTGTTTCTCTCAGTTCTATTGCCACACCCACTCCTAAAGAAACCTCTCCTAAAACCCCCTCTGTTTTCCTGCTATTGTAACTCCTTTCTTCTATGGATGACTTTCTTTTTACTAAAGGGGTCTTGTAAAGTGATTGAAAGGACAGATTTTAGATGTAAGAAACAGGGGGAAATAGGAAATAGAAAGAAAGTTAAGACAGATAAATACACTAAGGAGGCAAGTTACTCAGTTTTTCTCAAAGTGCTGTAAACATCTCCTGCTCATGGACCATGAACCCGAATAACACTTAAGATGAATAGAGGTATAGAAAAATAGAGAGCTAATAGCAAACTATATTAACCATTGTGCAGTTTCTCAAGGGCCAGCTGACGACCACAAGTTTGACATTTAATTAATTAAATCTTGCTTGTACCCCCGCTGCTATAGGGATTTTGATTAAGTTACCTTCTGTTCTGCTTAGGTGTGGGTAAATAAGGGGACAATTGTAATTTTTGAATGTGTATTCATGATGTTCAATGAAATGAATCAGCTTAGGAAAAATATACTCTGTTTAGCAAAAAATAACCTTTACTTCAATAGAAATTGCTAAGGCAACCTAAAATGTAAACACGTTCCGCCCAATGCCTCCCAGCTATTGCTTAAAGATGTAAAAATAAATCAGACCCTGAGACTTCTCAGAGGGAACCTGCACATTGCTTGCAAAGGTTCTTTTCTCACTCGCCGGCCCAAGACCTCTCCCCTTCCTATCCTGCATCCACTGCAGCTGGTCTGCGGCAGACAGGGTCTTAAGAAGTCACTGAGCTGCCTAGACTGGGCTAGACTTGGGGATCCTCCTGCCTCAGCCTCCTTTGGTGCTGAGCCTGCAGGCGTTGTCCTGGCAGTGCAGCCCCAACCCTAATGCAGGTAAGCCGGAGCAGAGGCCCCAGTGTGCACTGAGCAGAATCGATGGTCCCACTCTGAGCCATCCCAGGTTTGACCCTGCGGAGCTTCCCAACCCCCAGAGGCCTGGGGTGGCCCGGCTTTGGTGGCAGGGACAGGGCTTGGCCGGCATGGCGGGGAGTGGCAGCGTCTCCTTCCGGTCCTTCCGATCCAGGGAGCAAGAGAGGGAAAGGGCCAGGTAGAGCCTCGGTCTCCTCTCTGGGAGACTCTGACTCGAGTCCTGGGCTGTGCGGCCGAGTCCACCAGCACCGGCAGAGACAGGGCCCTACCTTCTGTCCCCTGCACCCCCGCCAGGGTCTTAGCAGTGGAGAACCCCAGGGCCAGGAGGGTCTAGCAGTGGCCCCCCAAGCCTGTGTTCCACCAGGGCCGGGCTACAGGGGCTCCCGCGACTGAGGATCTGGGACAGATGGCTTCAGCCCAGCTTCACTCAGGCTGCAGCCACGCTGCTGGCTTCGCCTGCCCTCTGCTGCTCTCAGGGGTGCCCTTGCTCTGCTCAGGGCCCACCCTTGCCTGTCAGGGGGCTGTGCCCCCCTCCTTAGCCCAGCTGGGGTCAGGCAGGAAGGAGCTGGTTCGGGACAAGGACCCAGGCCCACTGGGAGGTGGGCACCGAGGTCACCCTAGCTGGACCCATGGGGAGTGGTAGCCCTGCAGAGCGGACACCACCCGCTGCTGCTGGCTGCTTCCTCGGACTTCCTGGAGGACCCTGAGCAGGTCTGCCGGCCCAGGACCATGCCCCACACCCAGGCCAGGGACTCCCTGGGCCCCTCCTGCCTGCATCCCTCGGGCCACCACAGGCAGAGGTGTCTCCACCAGATAACGGCAAGAGTTAAGCCACTGTGTCAGGGAAGTCCTGTCTGCTTAGGTGGTGGCACCTCCCCTGCCTCGGCCTCCTGCTCCTGTGACCTGGCACGGGTGTCCAGTGCAGAGCAGAGCTGGTGGGCAGGGCCTCAGGATGGACATCTCTCCTGGCACAGGGCCTGACTCAGTGCCAGTGCCTCGTGTGGGACCGGCTCCCCAGAGGGCACTGTGGGGCTGTCACCACTTCAGCATCCCATACCCGTATTCTGGAGAAGCAGCCCTGGGTCCTCAGGAAAGAAGGTGTGAATCAAATAATCACACTCACCAGGTGATAAACTTTGGTACGTGCCATGCAGGGGACAGACAAGGACCTTGGTGCATTCTGAGAGTGAGGGAGGCTGAGATAGGAAGGATGAACCACAACTCGAAAGGTGGGAACAGGAGAGGAGTCAGTGTACCAGGTGGGGACGGTAGGTGCAAAGGTCCTGGGGTAGGAAGATCTGGCAGATCCAGCTCAAAGAGGAGCCCAGGGATGGGGTGGTCATATGCAGAGTGGAAGGGGGAGAGATGCGAGGGCTGGGTGGAAGAGGGCAGGGCCAAGCCAGTGGCACCTGGTGGAGCAGGCCTATTGCCATGGGCAAGGATGTTTGGGCACACAGTGGGGCTGCTCAGGGCAGGGAGACGGCAAGACTGCACTTGTGCATGGCCGCGGGGGGATCACTGGGCAGCGCTGGGCCCAGGGAGGAGCCGCAGCCGGGATCCTGTGCCCGGGGAGCCAGAGGGATACTCAGGGCAGGGAAGCCGTGCCCAGCCTCTGTCACCAGCACCTCGGGCCCTGAGCACCAGGGGAAGCCGCCTGAGGGCCGGTGGGTGTCCTGGACAGAGCGGGCAGGCCAGGGGCCGTCCCTCTGTGCCCAGGGGGAGACGCGCTCACTGAGGGAGCCTGGACCGACTGTGGAGAGGCTGAGCCAGCTTCTCCCTGCTTGACCCGCCCGGCCGGCCCTGGCCCACGCGCCCTCACTAGGTCCTTGGCGTCCTTGGTGGTGTAGCCCTTCGCCCTGCTCCTGCTGCTGACCATCAGGTGACCCGAGGGTGGCCCGGAGGAGGGGCTGGACCTTGGGACCAGAGAGGGGAGGAACTGTGACGCAGGCACCCAAACACCAGGTGCCTGCACGGGGGCCCCACGCGCCTCGGCTGGAGGGTCAGGCCAGGTCCTCTCGGGCCTCCACCTCCGGACGCGCCCAGCCGCTCCAGCCTGTGGGGCTCTGCCTGGGGTGGCAGCACTGTTCTCAGGTCCCTGCCCCAGGGGTCACAGGGCGTCGGAAGGGGCTGCGGGGCCCCACACCCAGCACCTGCCTCCCTCGCCCAGCCCCGTGGCCCACCTTCCAGAGAAAGGCTTGCTGCCTCTGGGGAGGGGGCTTGGCAGTGTCTCTCCTTCTCCTTTTCCCATTTGTTTCCAGGGACCAAAGCTAGCTCTTCCTTGCAGTGGGAACATACGAGAGGGAGTGCATTTTCCACGGCGACTCCCAGGCTCCACCCTGTGGTCACAAAGTTTTAGAGTAAACGCCGAGGAGGATCCGACTCCATCCAGATGGCGGGGCTGAGCTACACATCCGGCCCCTGGGAGGCTGGAGTGCCCCCCAGCAAGGACGGCCACTCTGAGGCCCGAGTCCCCATCTGCTGCGCTCTGTCCTGAGAACTTGGGCTCTGGGTGGGGCCTCAGGGTCCCTGAGTGAGTGGCCCCAGGGAGCAGAGCCTGGGGCTTGTCCATCCTTACACATGCGGGGACACGAGAGGAAGTGTGACTCTGTCTTCCACGGCAGAACATGTTAACTTCAGCCGTGTATTCAAGGCATCCTGGCCGTTCCCTGTGGCTGCTTCCTGAGGCAGGGACTTCGGCTCACAGTTCTGGGGCTGAATGTCCGGTCCTGCCCTGCAGAGCAGGCAAAGGGGCGCTGTGTCCAGAAGGAGCCGGACCCTGGGCCCGGGCTGGACGCAACAGTCCCGTGGCTGACCAGGTGCCCAGGAACAGCATCAGGCCCTCCCTCGGGGGGCGCAGGTGCCTGGCCAGTCCCTCGAGGGGACCTGCTAAGGCTCTTCCACCCCACACACCACCCAGGACCAAGCATCCAGCGCCCGGACCGCTGGTCACATGAGAGCCACGTCCAAGCTGTAGCGGAGACCACGGGCCTAGCTTTCTGTCCGCACCGGTGTAAGACTGAGGCATCTGTGAGAACAGACAAAACACTGTGCAGAGATAGCATCACTGCTGCTTCCACCGGGCAGTGGCCCAGGCCAGCAGGGCCGCTGGCGGGTGTGGGTGGCAGGGTCAGCCTGTTCCTGGGCACCCGTTGAAGGCCATGCGCTGGGCAACATCGGACAGAGTCTGGCAGGTCAGAGTCTGCAGAGCAGCCCAGTGCTGGTCTGGTCGCTGCAGCTGTGAGTGATGGGATCCAAGGACCGGCTGCAGAGAGGGCCCCTGGGCCCGGACAAGGCACTGGGGACACCGGGTGCCGGCCGCACGCGGCTGCGGCTCTGCCCACCGTTGCCACGGCCAGGCTCCAGGGCTGCTGCTCTGGCTGTCTCCGGGAATCCGACCGTGCCATCCCGGTCTGAGCAGGGAGCTTCACATCCCTCCCGCTACGCTCTGACCTGATGCAGACGCATTGCCATGGGGCAGCCAGGCCCGGCAGCACAGTTCACCCCGATTCCCAGTCAGTGTGCAGCCCTGCTCTTGACAAACGGCAGCCGCCCCTTGTGTGTTTTGGGTGTGGTCTCCCTGTACTGGACTCTCCTGGAGAAAGCCCCACTGTGCCTTTTCCCTTCCACGGCCTCTCACTACCTCACGACCCTAAAGACCCTGCAGCCTGTGTGGGAGCTGCTGGCCCAGTGCCTAGTGCCGGAGCGGCCCTCTCGGGTTTGCCCTGTCGAGCTCGTACCCCGGCTTCTTTTCCTAACAAGAGCCACCCTCAGCTGAGGCCCCGGGCAGGGCTCTGGCTGGATGCTGGCCGGGGCCAGGGTGTGAGGGCCTGGCCGCCTCCCAGGTGTGTGGAAACCTGTCCTCCCCACCCCTGGTGCCCCGGCACTGGGTCCCCAGTGGCCCATGCCACCTCTCCCCACTGCCTGCTCAGAGCCGGGGGCTCAGCCTGCCTTGTCCTGGACACAGCTCCTGCCCCCAGACCCATGCCCCTGAGCCTCTCAGAGCTGGAGCCCCTCCCGAGGACCTGGGACAGCAGGATGCAGGCTCTGGCTCTGGTGGATGAACCCGCTTGTCCTCAGGCCTCTGGGGAGCCAGTGAGGGGCCAGGCAGGTCTCTGCCCTGAGTCCCCTCCCCCGCAGCATCACTGCTGACCATGCAACTCACTGCCCCCCGAGTGCGGCCGTGCCCCTTGGGGATGCAGGCCACACCCGGTCTCCACCCAGGAGCTCCAGGCTGGAATCGAGGAGGTGGACAGGGATCCAGGAGAGCTGCCTGGAGCAGCATCTATTCCTCCTTCCATTTCTGCCCTCTCCCTCCTCCTTCCTGAGACAGTGAAGCAGGCGAGAACGCACTTGGACCTCGCTGGGAAGGCTTGGCGTGGAGCCCTGGCAGGAGGACAGGGGACTGGAGCCATCCTCACGAGTTTGAGGCGGCTTCTCGGGAAGGAGTGTTGGTCCTGGCTCTTCCATGCCAGTGTTGGAGGAGGGAGGTGGGGGTGCTGTGCAGGGCCTGGCAGGGCTCGGGGATGCGTGGTGGCACCTGGAGCCCGGGGACCAGGCCCGGAGGCTCTGACTCCCTCTCAGCTTCGGTGTGGCCTCGGCCCCTGTTCCTGCGAGCACAGCTAGGGTGGCAGCAGCACTCAGCCAGGCCACCAGCAGGCGAGGGCAGGTGGGGCACCAGGCTTCGACTTGAGAGATGCCACGCAGAAAGAGCAAGGTCGCCTTGAGCCGATGCCTTGGAGTCCCCGTGGTTCCTGGGGTGGCGACAGAACACTCTGCTGGCGCTTAATGCAGGAAGGAGACTGGTGCGGCGCCACGCAGGGCTCACGGCTCTGCTGAGGCCTCAAGGTGCGGGAAGGGGAGGCCCAGATGTGGCGGCCACGGGGTCCAGCGGGGTCGCGTCACGCTTCACGGCCACCTGCTCGGGGAGCAGACCTCCTGGGAGCAGCACGTGGCCCTTCCCAGCAGCCTGCAAGCCCTAACCTGGGCCCCTGCTCCAGGCCCAACCACCCACACCCGGGAGCAGGGCTCTGGGGACACAGTCACTCCACACGCAGCACAGCGCCAGGCCTACGGGCACAGGGAGGCGGGGCAGGGCTGGAACCTGCACGCTGCGACCCTTGCTCTCTCAACGAGGGCTATGCCAGGCTCAGAGGCCGCCAAGCACCAGCCTCATCTGTCCAGGAACCAGGCCACTGCTGCATCCCCAGGGGACATGTCCTGCTAGGCTCTGGGTCTCATGGTGACCCCCAGGTGGGGCAGGCGCCACACAGGGGGACGTAGGTCCCCAGGAGGGACCAGCAGAGTGGGTGGGTGGCAGGGATGTGCTGAGTCCACAGGCGCATTTGGCTGGCAGAGGCCTGGACTGGAACTCGCCAGGTGGGGATGGCAACCCCATGTCCTGGGAAGGAAGTGGAAGCTGAGGGGCCAAAGGAATCTTAGCCCTGTGGAGCCAGGAGGGCAGGGGCTGAGGGAAAGTCCTGCAGGAAGGACGGCTGCACTGAGGCCTGGTGGGGTGACAGCCTAGCCCAGAGCAGCAGAGCAAGGGAGAGAGGTTATCAGTGCTGCAGCTGGGTTTGGGCACAGTTGGGTGCGGGTTTGATGGCACCCAAGGATCTGGCTCTGCCTCTGGCTCTGCTCTGCTCTTCCCTCAGTCTGGTGCCCAGGGCTGAGATGATTTCAGAGCTTCTCACATCCCAACAGATGGGCGGGTCCTGGGAGGAAGCACCAGGAGGCTGGGATCACCCAACTGTCAGCCCAGGGTGAGGGCCGGGACAGGCCAGGCCCGGAGGACCTGGGGGATCATGGGAGGGCCCACGAGGCAGGACCCTGGGGCAGCAGACCAGCTCAGCCTGCGCCTTTCTGACTCCGATCCCCCAGCAGCAGCCAGCGGGGTGTTTGATATTCAAATTAAAGCAGAGCCATTTGGGAGACTTGTCCCACAGAAGCCTGTAATTGGAGCCTGTGGGAACATTTACACTGATGGAGAATTAATGAAGGCTTTGTTGCTGCTCTTCCGGGAGAAATCTTGGGAATTTCACCCAGCATGTGGCCTGGGAGCCCCTCCCAGCCTTCAGGCTCAGAGGGGACGGAGAGGAAGCCCTGGCCTGGCTGGCCTGGTGGTCAGGTCCTTGCCAGCCTGGCTGGGGGACTCTGGGTGGACCCGGGTGAGGGGGTCAGGGAGGTCGGTGGGAGGTGGGGTGGAGCCATACGTGGCCCGGGTCCTCCCCTGCTGGTTTTCAGCCTCACACACCCGCAGCGGGGGTAACAGGCCCACCCAGGCTGCGGTGGCTCCTGCTGTGAGCTCCGGAATTCTGGGCGAAGTCCTGAGCCCAGCGAGGCCGACACAGGGTCACTGCAGATGCAGTTGTACAATGAGGTTGCACTGGTGAAGGCCGTGGCCCAGCCTTACAGGAAGGGGCATCTGGCACAGCCGTGCACCCAGGGAGAAGATGGCCCCATGCAGCCAGGGCAGAGATGGGCCAGTGTGTGCCCCAGGGACCAGCGCTGGGAGAGGCGGGGGCAGTGGCGTCTCCTCACAGCTGCAGAAGGGACCGGAGACACCGTGGTGAGGCTCCTGGCTCCCGACCACGAGACAGTGCCAGCCTCCTGCAGGAGCCTCGATCGGCGGGCTCGGGACTGCACTGGGCAGCTGTGCGCAGGCCCAGCAGTGGATGTGGGTCTCCACCACCCTTCTCCAGCCCAGTGACCTCCTCAAGGGATGGGGAGTGACGACCCTCCCCACAGCTGTGCGCTAACGCAAAGCCACCTGGCCCGCCGCAGCTGGCAGGAGTTTACACTGGCTCGCGTCCCCGGGTGGCCGTGCCATGACGTGCCGCTGTGAGAACGGAGTGGGGAGACCTGGGCAAGAAGCTCAGAGGAGACTCGTGAGTCTCAGGCCAGAGGCTGTCCTGCACCCCTCCGTCCCCACTTGGAAGGACTCACCAGAGGCCACTCCAATAACAGCAGGTCCCCCAGGACCCTGCTGAACCCCCAGGATGGAAAGGAAGGCAAGGGGCCAGCAGCCTTGCCCCACACAAACATGAAAACCACACACATGTACACAGCACATACAGACACACATATTTACCCACCTCATAACCATGCACACCACACACATGTGCATAGTACATTCACCCACATACACACATGCATGTACCTACCACATGAGATGCACCATACGTGTCACACGTTCACATTGCTGTGTGTCTGCTTGCACATGCATGCATGTGCACACACACACATCACACATGCAGATAGACACAGGCACACACATGTGCACACTTGTAATAAGCTGTGCATCCCTTCCCGGCAGCACATGTCTGGGGAAGGCACCATTGGACAACTTAGTCACAGTGTGAACATCCCAGAGCACGCGTGCACAGACGCAGGCAGCTGGAGGTCATAAGGTGAGGCGACCATGTGGGCCCTCTGTCGTGTGTGGCCCATCACTGACTGGAACATCTGTGTTCATCACATGATGAAACATGCACATGTACAGGCGTGTACACACCACACACATGTGTGTACTCATACTCATTACAGTGCTAAACGCACACATGTACACATGCACAGACTCATGCACTCACAGTGCTGCGTGTATACACATACACACAGACATACATTCACATACATGCACGCACAGTGCTACCTATACATGCACACACAGAATGCTATGTCCACATGTGCAGGCACACAAACACAAACGCACACATAGCCAGAAGCAACGACCTGCCCGGACCCATCTGTGTCCTGAGTCACATGACCCCCTGGGTCTCTGGGCTCACCCTGGTGCCTTTTGCTGGACACCAGCCTCACCCTCCCTGGCAGGGCTGCTGTTTGGTGACACTTAGGCTGCTTCATCCTGTGGGCCCCCTTGGCAGTTCCTCCATTTCCCACTGACCACGAGCGCTCTGGCAGGGACAGGGCTGCAGTGGGACAGGACAGGCGGAGACTGGGCCGCTCTGTGGCCCAGCTTCCTGGCTGTGCACAACCTGCCTCCAAGCTGCCCCTGTGTCTGTGCTGCTGCTCACGTCCCCCAGGGGCCGCAGCACAGCCCTGTGTCCTAGAGTCGTTCCCGCTGCGCGTGTCTGTGGATTTCCCTCTTCTTCACAGCCATCTACTCCAGCAAGCCCTCACCCTACAGGGGGCTGCTCTAGGGAGCCCGTTCCCAAGGCCCATCTGAGGTGCTGTGAAGCAGGACTCCAGCAATGAGCTTGGTTCCCCTCCAACCCGTCGTCTGTAAAATGGCAGCAGAGCATTGTGCCTGTGAGGACGAGACCTGCTGGAAGCAGCCACCCGCAGTGCTCTGCAAGGACGAAGACATGAAAATGCCTGGAAAGCCAGCGAGACCCTCAAGCCAGTGCCCCCGAGAGCCCTGAGCCCCAGCTGCCTTTCCCCATGGGGCTCTCGGGTTCTGCTGCCGTCCTGGGACGTCAGCATGGGGAAAGTGTGGTGGAGACTCAGGGCTCAGGCGATGGCACTGTCAGGAGCTGACCCTCCCTCTGCACGGTCCTGCTCTCAGGAGCCTCAGACATAACATCCCACCCAGCTGGCCTCTGCCGAGCTGAGCCGGAGGAGCTGATGGCCCAGCATGGAGGGTGACATTTTGAGCCGCCCCCGATGGCCGCCCCCAGGACTGTCTCCCCACTTGTCTTACCTTTCTGCATTGCTCCTCATCCTCCTGAGAGCCCAGCTCATGCCCGTATTGCTCCCAGGTCTGGCATCTGCAACCTCGACCTTCAGGCTGGTGGTGCCTCCTCCGGGGACAGTGCCTGCCCTGCTGACCTCTCCGAGACTCTCTGGACTCCGGACACTCACATGCCGAGGACCTGTCCTCCGGGAACAGTGGGGCCCAGGGGCAAACGTGTCTGAAACAGCACTTCGCCTTGTGAGCCTGCTCTCTGGCGTCCCACAGGCTAGGGCTGATGACGAGCCCCCCAGACTATGGCACGACAGGGAGGTTGGGACCCTCAGGAGCTGGAGTCTGGTGGGAGGAAGAAGGTGAATGACAGGGACACTGGACCTTGGCCACTGGTCCCACGGGGACATCCCTGTCATCCACGGCCCTGTGAGGGACTCTGCCCAGCCTGAAGCAGAGCGCCACTGGGAGCCCTGCCCTTAGGTTGTCATCACAGGTATGTGGTTATGGGGACACAGAGATCACATGCACAGCCTCGGTCACAACGGTCACCACACCAGAGTCCAGCCAGGGTGGGGAGTGGGCAGTGGAGCCCAAGCCAGGCACAGTACAGAGGCGCAGCACGGCCACCCTCTGGTCATAGGGACAACAGGCTCGGCTGAACCCAGTCCGGGACCCATGGGGACCGTCTGAGCAAAGCTAAACATCTACCGCCTGCCTCGGTGTCTGTGTGGGGCTGCTTCTCTAGGTGACAGCCCAAAGACTCAACAGTGAAGCTGTGATTTCATGTTTGTAGCAGCTGAGGTGGGAGGTGCCACATCTGCCAATGGTCCCTCTATGCTGCAGCCTGGAGGGCAACAGGAGGGCAATGCGACCCAGTCCCCGTCCAGCTGCCTCTTCCTGTGGTGTCCCCAGCTCTCTGGTCCCCATACCTGAGGACTCAGAGCCCATGGCGCCTCAGAGGCAGACGGCACATTCTGGGAGCAATTTCCTGTGATAAAGTTGTTTAAAAAATTGTATGTCGTATTGAAATTAGATAACTGCTATTGCGGCTGGTTTAAGAATTATTTGGATTTAATTGATCAATTAGATGAAATTACATAGTAGTGAGAGTTGGCAAAGTCCCAGGCCTGAGCTGCGGGATTTGAAAGCCATGGTCCCAGCCTGGAGCTGTGTGGCCTGGAGGTGACTCTGGTGCGGGTGATGCCCTGGGCTCGTGCAGCCCGCCAGCCAGGTGACGTCCCGGACTGGTGGCCTCGAGGGCCCAGAGGGGATATGCCTGGCTGTGTCCATCAGGGTCTGCACCAAAGAGGTCAGCTCCACAAGGCGGTGGCAGAGGGTTTCTGTCCTCTCCTCCGGGGTCCCAGTAGCCTCACAGCCGAGCGACTCTGGAGGCCTCAGGGAGGGGCCCTGGGCCCACCCAGACGTCAGCCTGCCGTGTTTGTGTTGGCAGCCTGGAACTTCGCCTTTGATGGCCCAGAGGGGTGGCTCTGTCTGAGGCGCCCAGGACAGGAGCCTAGGTGGTGGCCTTGAAATGAGCCTCCCGCCGCTCCCTGGCCCTCCTGGGCTATTCGCGTGGCCCACAGCAGGAGCCAGGATTGAAGCCAGGCCCAGTGTCCCGAACTTGGTCTCAGGCCTGGGAAGGGCCCTGGAAGGTACCAGGAAGGTGGCCACCCACAGGTCACTTGTCCCTGACCCCCACCTGACCCTCAGGCCTGGGGGCCTGGTCCCTGTGCCCGAAACACGAAGCCCCAGCTGTGTTCCGCAGCCACAAAGAAGAGACGTGGACAGCTGTAGTCACTCCACAGTGGGCCTGGAAATAGGATCTGGATGCGCTGTGCTGAGATCCCAGGACCAGCTTCCTGGCCAGGGCAGAGCATGCAGGGCCCCTGCGGTGCCATCAGACACTGGAGAGAGAGCACCAATCAGCTCCCGTCGGAAAGGCAGCTCCTGCCATGCTCAGCTGGAGCTCTAGGCCTCTGGGAGAGGGGCGGCCGGAAGCAGGAGGCAGGTCCTTCCAGTCTGTGTTGGGGGCTGTGGCCACCGAAGTGCAGGCTGGGCGCTGGCTGGGCCAGCAGTCGGGATGCTCGCAGCGCCTGATGGCCAGGACGGGGCACCGTGCAGGAGCAGCACACGCCGCCCTGGGGGAGCGCACTCCCTGCATGTGGGTGACCAGCACACATCTCTGCAGATGGCCCTGCCTGGGGCTTGTCGTGAGCGAGTTCAGTGGGAACTCGGGTTTGGACTTCTTCTGGGAGGGAGACAGAGGCGGAGACGTCTCTGTGCACCTCGGGGGCTGGAGGGGCTGGGGTCCTGTGTCCTCTTGCTGCTCCCATCCCTGACGCCACCCAGGCGGTGCTGGGCCTGGGTGCCTGTCCGGGGAGGTAGGCTTGGGAAGTCCAGGGAGGGTGACCCTTGATTCCTGGGAAGAGCCCTTCTTGGAACGGAACCGCTTTCATGCTAGGCAGGCAGGCTTTTCAAACAAACAGCAGAGCCTCAGCCCAAGCCAGCTTACCCAAAGAAGGAGCTATATTGATTTCTATAGCCAGGAGTCGTGTAATGGATGCGGTTTCAGGTATAGCTGGACCCAGGAGCTTAGGGCTGTGACACAGTCCTCGGGCACTGAGTGTGTGTGAGTGTGCACATTATCCTCAGCAGTTGCACTCTGCAGTCCCTGTGAGCACAGCTTTAGAGGACACAGAGCTGTTGCTGCTGAGGAATGGTTAGGGTTAGTCAGGCTCCTCCAAGACTCGGTCACAGCATTTCATCAACCGACCAGGACACAGTCCCCTTGGTCCACGACGATGCCTGACTTCACCTCTGGGTATTCGGTGACATCCAGCTCGCAGTGCGGGCTCTGAGTGCGTCCCTGAGCGGTGCCGCCCCCACCGGTGGCAGGAAGGGGCGCCCGGGGTGGGCGTGGGTTTCCTCAGCTCACTGGGGGCCTGGTGTGCATGTCCCAGCTCCACCACGTGTCCTGCGTGGCCCACCAAGGTCTCTGCCCCCTTCCTGCTGTGGTCGCTGGCGTGGGGGGACAGCGCTGGGACTGTCACGTCCACTCATGGGGTAGCCAAGCAGCAGGAAGCACAGGGCCTGGGTGTGGCCCGCACAGGTGTCTGGCGGCGTCACCTTTAATCCAGAGCTGTCTACATGTTCGGGTCAGCTTCCCACAGCGTCACTGGATGCTGAGAGGTCGGCCAGGGAAGGGCGGGTTTTGCTCCTGTCCAGCTCGCTTCTGGGCCCGGGGTGGGCGGGGCCAGCATCATGCTGAGGCCTTGGGGTGGGACAGGGCAACCCTTATGACAGCCAGGACTGGGAGACTGAGTCCCAAAGGTCACGCCCTGTGACCCCGCCCTTCCAGGTGCCTCCTGGTTCTGTGACCTGCAGCAGACCAGCAAAGCGCGAGGCCCGGTCGGAAGCACATGCACATCTAGCACATCGCAGTGAGAGCCATGCTGCCACGACCGCCGAAGGTCCCCGCAGGACCTCACTGCTCTCGCTTCCGCCTGGAGCATCGTTGGGGTCTGAGCCTCCTCCTCTGTGGTGACAGCCACCCCAGCTGTCACCGTATTTTTGATCACTCCTCATAGACACTCATGAAAGAGGGCTTCAGAGCTGCTTCAGAAAGTGGCAAGAACTAGGGGACTGCGTGTTCACAGCCAGGGGAGTGTTTCCAGGGGCATTCGTGGCAATGTATCTGTGACTGCAACAATTTCTAAACATTTCTAAACATTCACCGTGTATGTGATCCCCCTGGGATGAACCGCGGATGTATTAACCCATCGCTGAGTCAGCCCTCGGGCTCTGCTCTCCCCGCTCAGGAGGCTGAAGCTCCCTCCCTGGGCTGCCAGGGCGGCTCCTCGACTGCCCGGGTCCTCAAGCGCACCCACACTCTAGCAGGGTTCTACAGACACCATCATGCCTGCAAGGTGCAGGAAGCCTCTGAGGCGGAGGACCCACAGCCTCATAGCTGGATCTGGCTGTGCGGACACCGCTCCCCCTGCTGTCCACACTGCCGGCTCTCTGTGGAGCTTCTTGTGTCTCCAGCTCCGCTCTGCACGCACCTGTGAAGCCCTCTCTGTGCCAGCCAGGAGAGGGACATGCTGCACACAGACTGCACTGCTGCGTAGGCCGTGACAAGCATCCCATGCAGCGACAGCTCTGACTCAGCCTGGCAAGGGCCTTGGAAGGGTCAGCACCAAGGACAGTAAGAGAAGGGGTGGGCATCGCCCCCCCACTCTGAGACCCGATCCCATTGGCTGGTCTGGTCAGGTGTCCATCTGTGAGCCAATCACCATGGCCAGGGAAATGGAGCACCTTGATTGGCTCTGAGCTTGGAGGCGGAGCCATCCCCAGGGAGGGACAGGCTAAGTGAGGGGTGATCAGGAACCCCAAGCCAGACAGGCATTTCCAGGGGAGTGGGGCAGACCCCACAGTGCCCACCCTGGGTCACGAGCCACGCTCTGAGGCTAGGTTGAAGGACGCCTGGGTCCCGGGTTTGCCCTGTCTCCCAGAGGGGTGGCGTTGCGCTATCCTGAGCTGCCTTGGCAGGAGCGGCCTCACCCTAAGCTCACAGTGTTCCTCAGGCCCCAGGTGAGCCCCACAACCCTAGGCCACCACAGCTGCTCACCAGCTTCGTCAGCCTTTGCCCTAATTCCCTGGCCTGGGTGGCAGTGGTCCAGGGCTCCGGGCATCACTTGGGAAGGGCAGGACCAGGACCTCAAGGGCCCTTGAGGGCGGTGTCACCACCACAGCTGCCCCGCGCTGCTCCGTGGTGTCGGGGAAGTGTTGCTGTGGGCCTGGACCACAGGCTCCTTCCTGCCAGGGAGCCCCAAGAAGCAATGGTCCCCAAAACCGCAGGGGACGTGCCCTTGTGCCAGCTTCCCAGGACCCAGGCAGGCCGGTCACTGACGCTGGGCCTGCATTGGTGGAAATGAGAAATGCTTTGCAACCATTTTCTCCCCACAGAAAAGACGCTCTGCATTCTGAGCGACTCCTGCGGCAGAGGAGAATTAAAGCACTCTCTCTGTGTCGGTCCTCTCCTGACCCCAAGAGGCTGCTCCTTCAAAGACCAGCCCTCTTTGGTCAGGTCCAGGCCCCAGTTGACACAAGGTGGGCTGAGCCTGTGCCCCTCATCCCCACCTTCAATACCACCAAGGCCCTGGGGAGTAGGGAGCCATAGGAGGTGCATGGGAAGGCAGCACCTCGTGAGAGAGAGGTGTCTCAGGGGGGCTCCCAGGCCTCCCTCGGTGACAGACAGCAGGAGGGGCCGGAGTCACTTACAGGCCAGGAAGGGCAGCGGAGACCTGTGTCTCTGCCTCTCTGTCTCCATCTGTCTCTGTCTCTGTCTCTATTTCTCCCTGTGTTTCTATCTCTGTGTCTCTGTCTCCCTGTGTCTCTGCCTCTGTCTCTCCCCATGTCTCTCCATGTCTCTGCCTCCCCGTGTCTCTGTCTCTCCCACTCCCTCTCTTCCAGCTGCACCTTCAGGCCCCTTGTCTCTGTCTCCTCCTGGAGGAGGCAGGCTGGCTTGGCTTGTGACTGTGCACCTCCCAGGTCCTAGCATACCTTGAGCCAGTGTCACCTGCCTGGGGGCTGAGTGCCCATCTGCAGGGCTAATGGGCTGTGGGGCCAGCAGCTGCCCCTGCACCCAACCACAGGCCCAGCAGCAAACAAGGGGGGACCGCTGCTGCCTCCTCAGTCCACGGTCAGTCCGGCTGTAGGGAAGTCAGGCCGAGGGTCGGAGCGGAGTGCAGGGTGTTGGCCCCATCTCCGGGCACGTCCTGGGGCAGCCACTGGCTTCCTGCAGCTCAGCTACTCGGCCTGCACAGCCTCTCCCTGGCCGAGCTTGGGAGGAGGAGGGTCCCCAGGACTGTCCCCAGAAGCCGGTGCCGCTGTGAACCCTAACCCTAGGGCTCCCCCTTCTCTGCATGTGGCCCAGACCCGACTCCACCCTGGCCACTCTGCCTCAGTTTCTCTGCTGTGACATGGCTGTGCTGGTCCCAACTCCACACCAGTCCCAGTCCCAGTAAGAGCTGGCATTTAGGGATCAACTACTAATTCCTATCTGCTCAGCGGCTGCAGTGCTAAAGTGCATGGGTCACCAACAGGCAGGTCCCTGTTCCCAGCTCCGGGAAGAATCCAGTGCTCCCCAGGTGGCGCAGGTGGTCCGCACGGTGTGTCCTGCCCAGCACGTCTTTAGGGGGACTAGTGAGCCTCACCCAAGGCTGTGACAATGGCCACTTCGTGGCTCTCCTGTCTGGTCTGCCAGGGCATGGCCCTCAGCAGCTCTCTGAGGACTTTGGTGGTGGAGTTTCTGGGGCCCAGGGATGTGGAGCACAGAAGAGGAGCGGCTGGGACCCAGGAGCCCACTTTCACCACGGCAGGGCCACCTCTCTGGTGTCACACCTGACGCCTTGAGCCTGGGCATCGCTCTCTCCATGACAGAGATGAGAGCCACTCAAGACTCGAGTTCCCAGTTCCCTCGGAGGCCCACGGGAAGAGCCAGGCCCAGCTCAGAGTGGCTCCCGCGCCAATCTGTGTGATGTCAGAGCGAGGCCTCCCTGGTAGGAGAGAACCCAGCGTCTCCCTCCCTGGCGCGGTTTAAGCCCTGCTGCCTGTTTCCTGGGCTGCCTTCTCGGTCGGGCCACCCTGCAGTCTCTGGACAGCTGGGGCTCCCCACGGTGGACTGGGCTGCTGCCCCAAGGCCGGGTAAGAGGCCTCATTGTCCAGCACGAGGGGAGCCCCTGGGGATGGCTTGCTCCACCTGGCAGACCCGGCTGTCCCCTGCCCAGGTGCTGTGTTTGGGATGCCAACGATTGTCTGGGTGGCAACGACTCCCTGCTGACTGTGAGCATAGCACAGTGTGTTTTCGTGGACAAAATATGCTTTCTCCTGCAGCAACACGTTAGCATCAATTCCAATAAACATATAATGAAAAGCACTTGGGTTTTTTCTCAAGTGGCTGATAAATTTGATTCCAGAGCCAAATTGTCTGGGCTTAAATCCCAGACCCAGGCTTTGCCGTTAGTGTGACCTTGAGCTGGGACTTGTTCTCCTCGCTGCCTCAGTTTCTCTTGGTGGGGAGTCAGGCAGTGCTGTCTGTGTTTCCACCTGGACGCTGTTAGAATCAAGCCCAGCACTGCACGGTTGGCCTCTATGCTGTGATTCCAGGGCCGGCGAGCAGTGCAGTGCTGGTGTTTTGTGAGCAGAAGCCACAGTCTTTCTGAAGGGGACAGAATGGGTGTTTATCAAAATCGAACTGGGACCCCTGCTGGGTGAATGGCAAGAGTCTCCTGGGGTGACAGTGAAACTCTCCCAGCTCCATCCAGAACAGCGACTCCAGTGCTGGCCTCAGCCCAACAGCGAGTCCTTCCTGGTAGCGTTTACCCAGCCTGGAGAGGGGAGGCCGGGCTCTCAGCCCTTCCAGCGTCTGCGGAGAGGCAGCTCTCTGAGGAGGGAGGGCTGGAAGCATATGCTGGAGAAGAGCGCGCTGGCCCTGGAGCCAGAAGCTTCGAAGTCCCACACAGTCACACACGCACAGATGTACACACACACCTGTGCACACCGACAACGTGCATACACAGAGAACAGGTGGCAGTACACATGGAGAACACACACCCCCAACACACACATGCATAATGAGACATGCACGCGACACAGATGGACCTGACACACACACAGGCAGGCACACAGTGCACTCAGAGACACATCATATGTACTGCACATGTGCACACTCACGCACACATGGAAGACCCGTGTACATATATGTACAAGAAGGGACACCTGCACACGTGGAAAGAACAGGCACATGCACAGAGAGAGAGATATGCATGCGTGTTCAGAGATCCGTGCACACACAGAGACATGCACATGCAGAGATGCATGCACACACTCAGATGCATGTATACACACGTGCACAGACACATGCACAATGGACACAGACTCACGCAGAGATACCTTACACACACACACACAGACATGTGTGCACGCATCACATACATGCACCTGCACTCATGCATACACATAGAACTGCACACACAGCCAAGAGCTGTGGGGCCCAGAGGTATGTCATGCTCATTTCTGTACACCAAGGACTCAGCACAAAGTGACCTCCTAACACATGCCATCATTGATTCACTCTCCCAATATTTACTGAGCACCAACTACGTGTTGGAAATCCTCGCAGGCCTTGAGGATGGAGCGGTGAGCCAGGCAGACAGAAACCCCGTGCTATGCCCAAGTTCACCGACTTCTGTGTTTCTCTGGGCCTCCATCTGCCCCCTCTGGACTCCAGCGGTCCGGGTATAAAACGCCAGCGTGGGGCCAGACCAGAGAGGAGGGCAGCTCGGATCTGGCCTCCGGGCGCAGGACCTGGGACCCGCAAGCGGCACCCCCCACGGTGGGCTGCGGTGAGTCTGGTGGCACAGTAGGCGCCGTCCTTCCCATCTTTTCTGGGCCCTGGGCGGGGCAGGGGGCGAGCGGGTCGCTCCGCGCGTGCACAAGCCCCCACCTGCCGGTGCGCGGGCGCAGAGACCCCAGGCTCCTCCCCGAGTCTCCAGCTCCTCCCGCCCCTCCTGGGCCTGGGCCGCGGCGGCCGGGACGCACCGCACCGACGCGGGGAGGCGGCGCGGAGCCTGCGGAGGAGGCGGCGTCACTGCGCACCGGTGCGGGCGGAGCGCGAAGGATCAACCAAGACCGAGGCCGCGGCGCAGCGGAGCGGCCGGCGCCCACCGCACCCAGCTCCACCATGCGCACTGCCCCCCGCGCCCCCCGCTCCCCGGAGCAGGCGCCGCGGTGCTGAGGGACAGCGCCCGCGCCCCCCCATGTCCCCGGCCGGCCGCGCCCAGGCTCCCGCGCCCCGGGCCCCTCGAGGCCCCGCGGGGAGGCGGCCCCGGCCGCGCCGCGCCCATGGCGGTGGCCAGGAGGATCAAAACTTTGCTGACGGTCAACATCCTAGTGTTCGTGGGCATCGTGCTGTTCTCTGTGTACTGCCGCCTGCAGGCCCGCTCCGAGGCGCTGGTGCAGGTCGTGCGCGCCGCCGACCGCCGGGTGCGCAGCCGGCTCGCCAAGGCGGGCGCACTGGCCGACCGCGAGGCCATCCTGCAGCGCCTGGACCATCTGGAGGAGGTGGTCTACAACCAGCTTAACGGTGAGTGGGCCGGGGCCGGGCCGTGTGGCCACCGCGGCCCGCCGGGAGGAAGCCCCCTGCGTCCTTGGGAGGGGACGGGCGGGGGGGGGCAGGCAGAGGGGCGGCCTCCTCCTGCCTCCTCGCAGAGGCCACTGCCTGAGGACGGCTCCTTCATCCGCTCCTGGGGACACTTGGCCGCTGCCCGGCCGTCCTCGAGGGCCCTAAACTCCCCCCCCCGCCCCCCAGGACTCAGGGGGCTTCTGCGCAGCCGGGGCCAGCGGAGGGGAGGCGGCACCCACATCCAAGAGCGAGGGGCGAGCCAGTGCGGTGGGCAGCAGAGCTTGGGGGGACTCGCTGGCCTTCCCTGAGGGTGAGGGCAGCTGCCAGTGTCCCGGGCACGTGGCGTATCCAGGGACATCCAGAGCCCCAGGCCGGAAGTTTTGCCGTGGGAGAAGCCTGAGGCGTCTCCCCGCCGGGGCAGGGGCTAACCGTCCACGCCGACCCAGGTCCTGGTGGGGCCTTGCAGCCTTCCAGGTGTGGGCTCCTGGGGGTCTCTGCTTCCCCGGGAGTGTGGGGTGGGTTGGGGGTTGGTGAGTGTGCCCCACCCAGCGCCCCCTGCGCCTGCGCGGCCCCAGGAAGCACAGGCATGGGTGGGGGCGGGGTGAGCCCTCGAGGACTGTCAGAGGACCCTGTCCTGTGGCGTGGGGAGCAGACGAGCCTTGAGTGGCCTGAGGACACTGGCACCCGCCCGGTGCAGGGAACCCGCTCTGCAGCTCACCCGGGAGAGCATAGCACCCCAGCTCCAGAGGTCCCAGCATCCTGGCTCCTCCTGAGGCTCCGTGGCGCCCGCGGGCTCTGGGACACGAACGGAGAGGAAAAGTTTAGCGGGAGCCACGCATGTGGTTCTGAGGCCGATACCGCCTGGAGGGCAGGGTGCCCCAGGAGCACGCGGCCGTGGGTGCAGCCGATCGCCTATCCTGTGGGGGCCGACGGTTATATAAAAACATGGGCAGCAGGCGGGCCTGTGTGACCGTGTGGCAGGTTCCCTCACCGCACTGTCCGGGAGAGCAGCGGGACCCTGAGGGCCTTGGGGTGTCCGAGCCCTGCTCCTCCAGCCTGTGCCTCCCCTTCCTCTCCTGGTTCCGAACATTTCCTCCTTCGCCCCCCAAGCCCCCCGCCCCCGCTCCCTCCTGCCCCTCCCTTTCTGTCCTCTTTCTCCTCGAGCTGTGCTGAGGCTCCATGGCAGCCCTGGCTGGGACCTACGTGGCCGTTTGATGTTCCTTCCAGGAAATGACCAGGGACACCACAACCTAGCCCGGACCCCGGGCGGGTCCTCGAGGAGCGCTCAGCAAGGCGGGAGTGCAGACTGAAGCCTCTCGCTCTGGCCTGAGCTGTCTGTGAGGAGGGCAGGGGAAAGCCCGAGGGCTTCCCGGAGGAGGCAGACTGCTGCCTTCATCCCAGCCTGGTCTATTTTAGGTCCCAGAAAGGCGAGATTGATTCCTAGGAGTTTTATCTAATCAGCTGAGTGTAGACAGGAGAGAGATCTAAGGCGAACTGATTGATCACTTATGTCTTCCCTGCCCTGACTGCCCCTGGGCCGGGGTGGCCTTTGAGGGGCTTTGGTGTGGGCGGGTCACTGTCCCCACAGCCTGCACCCAGAGTCTCTCCAGCCTTGGCAAAAGGTGAGTGTGGAGGGCGCAGCTGGGAGCCCCGGACCGGGAGGTGGCGCCCTGTGAGGACCCAGCAGCACACCCTGTCCATGTGCGCCAGGGCTTGCTCCTGATGCAGTGCTCATGGCAAGGACAGCAGTGTCCGGAGCCCAAAGTGGCTCTGCGGGAGGGGTGAGGTCATGGTTCGCCTCCGGTGCCCCCGCCCCAACCCCACCCCACAGAGCCTGGCGGTGCCAGGCGGGTGGAGGGAATCGCACTACACATCCAGGATACCTCGCGTCCCCTGATGCCCAGCCACCTGAGAGGGAGACCCACAGGGAGCTGAGTGGGCTCCAGAGCAGCATGGTGACCCTGCTCCACCCAGCTCCCTGCACCCGGCTGGAACTGGGCAGGGTGGCGGGGCTCCTGCCTGGTGGGGCTGGAGGGGGCACCTGCTCAGAGGAGCTTTCCGCAGTGACAAATTTTAAAGAAGCAGCGATCCCACTGAGGACCACCAGGAGTGGGGCAGAGGTCCCGGGGTGGCAGCCTCTGTCCACGCGCAGATGCCGCGGCCCGGCTCTCGGCCCCTCAACCCTGCTGTGCCCTCCGCACCCGGGACCTGACAGATGGACACCTGGCATTCACGGGTGTCCGTCCAGGCAGCAGACATTCTCGGAACAAGCACTGGGGCTGGCGGGCGGCAGGACAGGTGGTGAGGAGACGCGGTGCCGAGGGACACAGGCCAGACGCCAATCCCTCCCTCTGGAGCAGCGTGCGTGACCACAGTGAAGACCTTGCCTAGAGGCCGGGAGGTGAGGGCGGGGTGGACACAGCACTGGTCTGAGCGTCGCCAGTCTCCATGGGGCATGGCTGTCTCTCTGGGACGCATGGCCAGCCAGGACGGTGGGCTGCTCCTGTCCTCACGGCCTGGACACTGCAAGAACAGTGGGCACTGTCCATGCTGACGGGCAGAGGGGGTCCCAGGGGCGCAGCAGAGGAGGGTGTCCCAGGTCACCCTTGGTCGGGCCAGTCCCTTGCCCGCGACCTCTGGACCTCGGGAGTGTGGGCGCGCCTTCCTTGAAGGGTCTCTGGTTTCTCCCTGCACGTCCGGCCCGGGCCCCAGCCCCGCGGTGGCTGCGAGCTTGGACTCCAGGAGCAGCGCCGACTGCTGCTCCCCACAGCCCCTCCAGCCCAGCCCATCTCCACCGTCTGCAGGGCCCCACAGCCGCCTGAGCACAGAGGCGCATGGGGAGCTGAGTGCAGCTTGCCCCGGGCTCCCATCCCATCACAGTGGAGGGCTGTTTCCCGGCCCCCTCGAGGTCACATGGCCCCGGGAAGTGGAGAGTGCTGATTCCTGCCTGTCCTCCGCTGTGCCTCGTTCCTTCTTGCGTGGAGGAGATGGCATTTTGGGTTAGCCCGGTTCCTCCTCTGGCTCCTCCACACCCCGGAGCCTGGGGACACACAGCTGGTGCCTGCTCCCACGCCGTGTTCCGGGGGCCCCCGCGTCCATGCAGCTCGAGAGGACGCAGGAGGGCGAGGGCTGGGGCCACACTGGTGCTGCAGTTCTGCCGCCCGCGAGTCTCTGTGCTGTGTTCTGGAGCACGGTTCATGCCCCTGGCTGGAAATGTGGCAGGGCCACCCCCTCCCCCAGCCCAGCCGCTCTCCGCCACCTCCCCCAGGAAGCCGCCCAGGCCTGCCCGCGGGTGGCTGTCACACCACAGCAACGCAGACCTTCAAACCTGAGCCAGGGCTGCCCATGGAGGAGGCGGGGCTGTCCTGGCGCGCTGGGAGCTGCACATGAGCTGAGGGGAAGTGGGGGCACAGAGGGCCTGGGTGCAGAGGCCTCATGGTGGCCACGAGGAAGAGGAGGGTGAGGACCACTCTGCTCTCCACGGCTGTGTCCCTGGAGCCCTGGGAAGAGCAGGGAGGGAGCGTGATCGGGAGGGTGCTGTGCGTCCCGGGAGCGCTGGGGTCCCCGGCTGTCTGTGTCTGTCTGAGTGTGTCCTCGTGTCCTTGGTGTGGAGCCCGAGAGTCTCCCGATGTGCTGGGCCCCCGGAGCTGGGTGGCGCCCATCGGTGCCAGGCGGTCCCTGCCGTCAGTGCCAGTGGGACGCAGGTCAGGCCTTGCCCCTGGGCATTGCTGGGTGGCCCTTTTCTGTGGACGTCTGTCACTCTAGGGTGCAGAGCGGCTTCCAGCCCCCTCCGCCTGCCAGGGGCCACGGCGCCTTCTCTCTGCCGTGTCCCTGCCCTGCCAGAACCCTGCCGTCCTGGAGTGTGGCTGCTGTCTCCCAGGTTCCAGCCGGCTCCCTCTTCGCTAGGGTGTCAGTGCCGCCCTGTGCCTCAGTTTCTTTGCCTGTGGAGCTGGGAGGGGGTCTGGGGCTGAGGAAGGGATGTACTGTGCGCGGCGGGGGTGCCCCGAGTGGCCTGAGGGGAACCGGGTCTTAGCCCCAGGCCGTCTCCCTGACCCCCGCTGGCCTCCTGACCACAGCAGGACGGTGGCAGCAATGGCGGTTTCCGGGTGCACCGGCTCCCTCAGGCCCCTCCCAGGCTCCAGTCTCTGCCGAGATGTCTGTGAGACTAATGGCTCTGCTTTGTCCTTATATTCTACTAATTCTGTGGACAGATGACGTGGTTTTCCTGTCGTGGGCAGTGATCTGTCACTTACTGAAGAAACAAGTTTATTTAATTCACAGGGAGACTGCAGGCAATACAGACCCAGGCGGCTCAAGAGGACAGGGTCCCAGGGAGGAGGGGACAGACCTGGCCTCGTGGGACGTGGGAAGCAGAGCTGCCAGTTAGACCCCAGCTCTGGCCCCAAGCTCTGCCCAGGGCTCTCTGGCTCTCAGCCTGCAATCCCGGCACCGAGGAGGCTGCGGCAGGAGGAGCACCACAAGTTCAAGGCCAGCTTGAGCTACGTAGTGAGACCCTGTCTTGAAAAAGCAAAGGCCAGACAGGCTGTGTGTGGATGTGCCAGTGTAGATAGTGGGTCCCCTGCCTGCTCGGTTTCATTGTGTCACCCTCTTAGGCCTGACCAGCCCTGGCAAGGGACTGCGATGGGACCGTCCTTCCTGCTGGTGGCTGGATACAGCCCTCACTCGGCTGGCACAGGCAGGGCGTAGAGGACGTCTGAAGAGAAGAGATGTCAGACAGGCGGCTCTGCACAGTCCTGGGGCTCGGGGCAGCAGCTCTCGGGGGAGCGGGGGCTGGCTCGGCAGGCCCTGCTCTTCTGGGGGTGGCACGGAGTGGGTGTGTCTGCGGTTGCGGGGCCCCAAGCGAGTGTCCCTCTCCACAGATGTGTGTGGCCGTCCTGCACACCTGGCTGTCTGGGCTCCAGTGTGGGGGCTCCTGGACCTGAGGAGACAGCAGCACCCAG